GCCCCCCCCCCCCCCCCCTTACGTGGTCAGGAAATGGCTGACATGGCATCCACACAGTGTTTTATTTCAATGTTACTGTGAGTAATGGGCAAGAAGCTGAATACTGAGCTGTGTACAGTGTGTCAGGTGCTGAGGCGGTGCTCTTGCTCACTGTTCCGGGGCAGCCATCCACAGTAATGGCACACAGCCTGTACAGTGAAGGCCGTGCACAACCTTCCAGTCCGGCAATAAAACGTTCCACTTAAAAAAAAAAAAAAAACACAGTCTTTGTGTCCATCGCATGGGCCGCGTCACATGGGGGTCGCAGAGGCAGAACGGCAGGGGTCTGCGCCCAAGAAGCACCATGACTCTGCATCGGAATCCTCCCTGGAGGTCTCAGCACTGCCAGCAGCCGGGGATACTCCTTTCACACACAGCGCCACCTAGAGGAGGGGGGAGGACAGCATACAATAAACAGGAATGGAGCAATCGTGTGCGTGTCTAGTCCACAATCAGGCAATGGTGGTCAAGCACAGCAACCTCAATGGCGTCCAAATAAAAAAAGCGTTTTAATTGATTTGCACCCCAATTTTTTGTCTTTGGTCACTTGAACGCAAAAAAAAATAGTCTAGTGTGTGAGCAGCTTTTAAAGAGAACCTGTCCCTTTGTCCATTCCGGGGAAGTATAAGTGAGACGTGTGAATGACATAGTGACAGGTCCTCTTTAATTGCAAAAGTAAACAAGTGGGATGGGGTGAACCCCCACCAATGGCGGATCATTTCACAGCATTGAAAGTGGCTGCATGTGGGGGCGTCCCTTATAGAAGACCAGCTCGGGCTCTCTCTACCAGCTGCCCATCCTATTCCAGCTCCTACATTGGCCCCAGAAGCAGGGTTGTAGGGCCCCCTGGGGTGGTAGGGGGGGGCTGGAACCGGAGAGGTGTTGCTGCATATCAGTTCATGCTGGAGCAGCACAGGGAGGAGGATAAGCATTTCATATATAGGAGATCTCGCTCCCTACGCAGTAAACTGATCCACTAATTGCCACGGTGACATGTGTTCCTCCGATGACCCGTCTCTCGGTACCATCACTCACCTGGCTCTGCAGTGTCTGGATGGCCTCTCCATGCTGGCTGACTGTCTGACCCTGCTAGGAAAACACACCGGGATTAGTGCACACCACACCAGGCTCCCCCATCAGGCTGGAGAGCACCCCCATCAGGCTGGAGAGCACCCCCATCAGGCTGGAGAGCACCCCCATCAGGCTGGAGAGCACCCCCATCAGGCTGGAGAGCACCCCCATCAGGCTGGAGAGCACCCCCATCAGGCTGGAGAGCACCCCCATCAGGCTGGAGAGCACCCCCATCAGGCTGGAGAGCACCCCCATCAGGCTGGAGAGCACCCCCATCAGGCTGGAGAGCACCCCCATCAGGCTGGAGAGCACCCCCATCAGGCTGGAGAGCACCCCCATCAGGCTGGAGAGCACCCCCATCAGGCTGGAGAGCACCCCCATCAGGCTGGAGAGCACCCCCATCAGGCTGGAGAGCACCCCCATCAGGCTGGAGAGCACCCCCATCAGGCTGGAGAGCACCCCCATCAGGCTGGAGAGCACCCCCATCAGGCTGGAGAGCACCCCCATCAGGCTGGAGAGCACCCCCATCAGGCTGGAGAGCACCCCCATCAGGCTGGAGAGCACCCCCATCAGGCTGGAGAGCACCCCCATCAGGCTGGAGAGCACCCCCATCAGGCTGGAGAGCACCCCCATCAGGCTGGAGAGCACCCCCATCAGGCTGGAGAGCACCCCCATCAGGCTGGAGAGCACCCCCATCAGGCTGGAGAGCACCCCCATCAGGCTGGAGAGCACCCCCATCAGGCTGGAGAGCACCCCCATCAGGCTGGAGAGCACCCCCATCAGGCTGGAGAGCACCCCCATCAGGCTGGAGAGCACCCCCATCAGGCTGGAGAGCACCCCCATCAGGCTGGAGAGCACCCCCATCAGGCTGGAGAGCACCCCCATCAGGCTGGAGAGCACCCCCATCAGGCTGGAGAGCACCCCCATCAGGCTGGAGAGCACCCCCCAGATGCCACATTGGATAGCGGTGTCAGGCTGGAGGGAAGACTCCCCCGGGTGTCACACAAGCAGCCATGATGGGACGGAGCACATTCTACACACAGGCGTACATCCGGCAGGAGGACACTCACCTGCATTAGCAGCTGCAGCCTGTCCTCCAGTTCCTGGACTCGTAGAGTCAGCCGCGTGTTCTCTCGCCGCAGGTTCTCCTGCTCACTCGTACAGGATGAGACCAGGGTCTGCAGTCTTTGTACCTCCTCCTGCAGAGCATTGCACCCACAGCTGGGGCCCTGCTGTTCCTGCAAGCCAAGCGTAACATTTCATCTATAGCAAAAAGCTGAAGAAGGATTTTTGATGTGAGCCCCCCCCCCCCCCCCGACCTTCACATGGCTTCCATCCTACCTGGAGAGCCTCCTCTGTACTCTTCGCTGGCAGAGAGGCCTCTGTGCGCTGTGGAAGAGACGCCGACATATCCTGCGGCAGCTCCATACTGGCAGAGGACGGGGTCTCTGGCATCGGGATAAACTCCGCCTCTTCCAGCTCCTGCAGATACACAGACACGAGGTACACATCATCCAAACACGCACAGAGCCAATACAACACACGGGCCCCATATGGGGTGGCCCTATTACCTGCCGCAGCCAGCTGGGACAAGCACTGCTCTCCATATTTTCTGTGGTGTTAAATGGACTGGTCTCTGGCTCCGCCTCCATGGTTCCACGGAAGCCACCATCGCTGGGCTCCGAAGATAGGGACTCCCCTGCACTGTCAACCTCGACTCCTGCAGATTCCCCGGAAGAGCAGCTCTGGGCAACTGTAAGGCGAACACATTCTCA